TCTCCCCCCCCCGCCGGCCCCGCCGCCTCGGGCCGCGGGCGCTCCGCCCCGTCCTGCCGCCTTGCCACGCGGAGGGAGGCTCTCTGACGGCTCCCGTTCTGCCCGCAGGCTCTGGACTACTGTCACAGCATGGGGGTCATGCATCGAGACGTCAAGCCACACAACGTCATGATTGACCACGAGCACAGAAAGGTACGGTGAGGCCCCTGCTGGCCCCGGATCCGCCTCCCTGGGGAAAGGGGAATGCTGCGGGGCGGCGCTGGGCTGGTTCTCTCTGCCCGGCTCTGCCTCTGGGAGCAGAGAGGGTCAGCCGTGCTGCGCCAGCTCCCGCCGTCCAGGCAGGGGGTGAGCAGAGGCCGCGAGCTCTTCTCCCAGCCGCTCGGCTCCTGGCTCGGGGCCGTTTTCGCTCTCGGCCAGAGAACCAGCAGCTTGCGTTGGCCCGCGTCCTCGTGCTCCTGTTCCTGCAGGCCAGCGCAGGCTTATCCCGCGCTGAGCTGCTGCGGACGGTTGCGGTTCCGACAGCGAAACTTCCCCGGCACAGTTAATGCCGCGTGGTCCTGCCCGTCTCCGGCGGCACCAGCGCCCCCGAGCCCGTATTCGGGCAGGAGAGCGTTGCCTTTAAGTCCCGGTCGGCCCTCATTAGATCTGGGCCCCAGCAGACCCCGGTGCGGGGAGGGGGCTGCCTTTGCAGCTGTTTGTTTGGAAATACAGGTGACCGTAAAACCCGCACCTGCGTCCAGTAAACTCCCTTTATTTGCCACCTGTCTGCCGGTAACTTAGGCTTGTAAATGTAACTTCAGATTTCTTCCAGCACCTCTGTAGCAACTGGCCAGCTGGGGCCTCAAATAAAAAGGACTTCAAAAGGCGCCCGCTCGGACAGCGGGAGGCTGGGCGTCTCCCCGTGGCACGGGCAAAGCCTCTTGCAGCCGGTGAACGCCCCGGTTACGAGAGCAGAAGGGGGCCGACCCTCCCCGTGCCCCTTGGGCACCGTGCCCTTTGAAATCTCCCCCGTCGTCGCAGCCTGGTATCGCCCTGCGTCAGGCCGGCTGCGTTCTGTCGTAACCGCCGTGCTCGCAGGCATCTGAGCCCAGCCGGCCTTCCCTTCTCCCCAAATTAACACCAAAACCCCGGGAGAGGCTCTTTGCGGACGGTGGATGTCGTATGTCTCGATTCGAGTAAGACTTCGGCCAGGGAGACACGGCTTAGACGCGTCCTCCATGCAGTAGGTGTAGAGCTGCTGGAAAAGCTGTAATTGGGAGAGCGATTGTCGATGGTTTGCTGCCAGAGCGGAAGGCAGCGCCGCACAGGATCCGCAGGGATCGTCCTAGGCCTGGTGTTAGTATTGATGACCTGGCTGACGGACCAGAGAGCGCGTGCGTCGCCTGCAGGTTTAACGAGCGGAGCTGGGGAGGGCGGCGAGTCCCCTGGAGTGCAATCATCGCTATCCTGACCAGTTTGAGAAAAGACGGGGGGGAAAAACGGGGTGAAATTCCCGAGGGGCAAATGCAAAACCTGAGTCAGAAGCGGGAGCGGCCGGG